GTGTGTGTGTGTGTGTGTGTGTGTGTGTGTGTGTGTGTGTGTGTGTGAAGAGTTAGCACTAGATAAAATTGGAACTTAAAGGTTTGGGGCTTTTTCCTGGTCCTATAATTAACTCTTATTTTGCCAAGTTAAAGTTGAATTTTTCTTCAGTCTGTCTGTACCCTTCTCATTTGGGGGGAACAGTGTCTCCCCAGGAAAGCCATGTGATGTGCTAACTAACACCTGCCTAAAAGGATCATTGTAGGCACAAAGCCTTTAAACTATGGTATCAGGATATTTCCAGCCAAGAGTGTAGGAAAACATAATGCAGATTTAAACAATTCAGTGATAAAGGTGAAGTGACAAAGGTAATGTCATCTTGTTCTGACCCCATTTGGTGTTTTCTTAGATAGTTCTGAGCCCACTGCAGCCTGAACAGTCACATCTACCTTGGCAACACAATTGAGAGCCCTATGAGGTTGACTGTGGTCCAGATGTATTGACAAGAATGATTAATATTTATGCAAACTTAACATAAACTAAAATGACTGAAGAAGATACAAGTGAAAAATAATTGTTGTATTATATCTAAAATAATTACTATGTTCTGCCAGAAATGGATGTTTCAAGGTTATATTGACTCTTGTTTAACTTTGATGTAAATTACAGTCTTTGTGGGTTTTGCCTTTCAAAACACAGCTTTGGCACTGAGGAACTTTGAGGCATGAGTCTGTTCTTGGTTGCTGGCTAATAAAGGACCCATGTACTCTTTTCAGTTTTTCAAGACAGGGTTTCTTTGTGTAACCTTGGCTGTCCTGGATTCGTGGACCAGGCTGGCCTCCAACTGACAGAGATCCACCTGCCTCTGCCTCCCCAAGTGCTGGGAGTACAGGAATGTGCCACTGTTCCTGGCTGGACTCATATGCTTTTAATTGGCTTAATCAGTATGGTTGTATGTGTCTTCAGTGGATGGACTATGGACTTTTACAAGGGGACTCTGTTCGGTCATATTTTTTTGGCTAAAGGGTTCAGAATAGGATTGTTTCAGACAAGATTGGCCCTAGTGACTCAAGGATGTCATAGGACTCGCTTTTTAAAAAAGATTTATTTATTTATTTATTATGTACACAGTGCTGTCTACATGTGTGCCTGCGCGCCAGAAGACGCCAGATCTCATTATAGATGGTTATGAACCACCATGTAGTTGCTGGGAATTGAACTCAGGACCTCTGGAAGAGCAGCCAGTGCTCTTAACCTCTGAGCCATCTCTCCTGCCCCAGGACTCATTTCTTTGTCTCTGTATTTTGAGATACCACTGGCTCTGTGTACCACCAGGTTTTTGCGTTTGGAGAATCAACTAACCATGGTTCAGAAATATTCTTTAAAAGTTTTTTCTTCTGAGACTGGCATGGTTGCACATGTCTTTAATTTCGGCACTTGGGAGGTAGAAGCATAGGCAGGCTGAGCTCCGTGAGTTCAAGACCAGCCTAGTCTACAAATCCAGACCAGTAGGGGCTACACTGAGAGACATGATCTCAAAAATAAATGACCAAATTAAAAAAAAAATTGTCATTTGTAGTGAACATATGTATACTTTTTCCTTACACAATATAGTGTAGCAACTACTGACAGAAATTCCATTGTATTGGTCTTCAAAGCATCCCAGGGATGGCTGGAAGTTTGAGGTAGAATGTGCATCTGCCACATTTGGACACGCCAGCATCTTATGTTGACCTGCCCTTAGTAACTCCATTTTGTCCTAGTTTTAGCTCACTCAGCCACTCCCCAACCACTTGTCAAGCACCCCCTCTGTGCAGATGTTTTCCACGCTGACACATCCCCACATCCGTAGCTTCCAGAGGCTCTTTGTTTTACATCGTAAAACAAATCATTTTAACCAGTTGAGCTGAAACATGTAAAACTTTTGTCCCCCTGCCTGCTTCTGGTTAGGGTGTAATTGTGGGTTTTGACTTGAAAAACATGAACCCTGACTTGATTAGGGGCCAAGGGTTCTTTGTGAGCAGGAACCTGCTCTCAATCATTTGAACTCTCTTTGGCCTTATATATGTGTTCTGTAAGTGTCACGTGTGGTTTTCCAGACACATTTCCAAGGTGAAGTATATGGTTTGGGAGGAATTCCCACAAGCATCTGTTCAGGATGGTTGGAAACACAAATTAGTAGTCATCTATAAATAATCTTACTTGTAGTCTTTTTAGATACCGGTTTATTTAATTACAGAAATAAGCTTTATCCAGTATCTTGTATATGTTTTCAAGATTAAGCAAATAGTACATGGCTAGAAACAGGCAATGTTGCTCTAATATACTATAGATAGATAGATGGATAGATATGATTATGCACTATATAATTGTAGATAAATAAGCACTCTTCAAAACATTTCAGAGATCTACAGAATATGGCATTTAAAGATATTTTCATAATAAAAGGCTTTTCTGACAGAGAGACACATCTGCTCCTAGCAGCATCTCTAATCTACTTCAAAGAAGATGATGGGCATCAAAGAAATATGGCAAGATAGCCACTGGAGAAAAAAATTGTCCTTCAACTGCTGATGGAACGCTGTCTGTCCAAACTGTGAACAAGCAGGACACTGGAAAATTGACTGTCCCACTTTGCAGAGACTAAGTGATCAGTCTTTCAAAATTCCTGCTTCACAGAAAAGTCTGTCAGATGCTCTGGGCTGATAGACTGAAGACTGGATGTCTCAATGACAGAGAACCTCTGGTGACTGTCCAGGTAGTCACCTGTCTGTCATCCCTATAGTTCTAGAAGCTGTTTGCTCTATGCTTCCTATATACTTAAGTAATACTGTTTCCTTCTAAGGTCTCTGATAGAGTTGAAGACTAGATAGTCATAGTCATACTACAATTAAGTTTAGTTGTTTAGAAACTAAGACAGTGTTTTAGGTCTAAAAAGATGCCTTAAGGTCTAGATAGATGTTTTTAGGTTGATAGGTACAAGATATGATAAGAAAGTGATTTAGGTACAGAACTCAGGACTCACCAGGATAGAATAGATAGTAGAACACTTTCTCCAAGATTGCCAAATACAAATTGACTGGACATTGTAAATTTGATTCTTACCTGGTAATTCTCATAGTTATTCTTATTGTATATGGTTTATTAAAGTTAGAGAAAAAGCCATTTTTAAATAAAAGGGGGGATATGTAATAGAAGTTTTGTTTTCTTTAAAAACTCAGTTATGTTATGTAAATATGTTTTTGCTTTAATCCCAAGTGTGGGATTTTAGTTTGTCCATAGCTAATAATTATCTCCTACAGGGCATCATCTTTGCCCAAAATTACCTGTGCTGGGGACCTAGGGTCTCTTCTGGGGTACAGAGTGTTGGAGAAGCCCCGTTTGAAGATACAGTTGCAGACTTCACTGAGCGTCCCTTGGTCTGTGACTCCATGTATGTTACTCTGAGTGTGCTCTCTCTGGCTGGGTGGCGGCCTTGCCCTACTACTGAAGTGAAGGCTCAATGTCTCCTAAAGAAAATCACGCCCAGACTCAGGATCCCAATCACTGAGGGATCTGATAACAGGCTGTTTGTGGTTGGAATGGCACGGTTGGTGACAGAGGGACTGAAGGCCACCTGGAAGCTACACGCCACAAGCTGTGCCCAGAGCTCTGTGCAGGCAGAATAAATTAAACTGCCCTTGAACAAAAACTGTGTGCGGAAGCTGGGTGGTGATGGTTTTTAATCCCAGAACTTGGGAGGCAGAGGCAGGTGGATCTCTGTGAGTTCAAGGGTGGCCTGGTCTACAGAGGGAGTTCCGGAACAGCCAGGATTACACAGAGAAACTCTGTCTTGAAAAACATAAACAAAAGAAACAGCAACAGAACTGTGTGGGGAGACCCACCTACACTGGGACCAGCTGCTGCCAAGTGCTTTAAACATTAGGTGTAGCCCTACTGACAGACAGGGTTCTCCCCAAGTCCTTTTTGGAGTCCTGCCAGCCTTCATCAGAGTATACAAGAATGGGCAACATTAGCCTGAGACAGCAAATGCAGGTTCTTGGATTGTCCCCAACTATTGTACAACATCCTATTATGAAGTGGTTACCTTCCAGCTCAACCACAGATTGACACCTCTTAAAAAAAAAAAAAAAAAAAAAAAAGATGCTATATGTTAAAATAATGGAATGACCGACCCCTAAAGTCCCTTTGGAGGGGTCCATTCACTGTCACCTTATCCATTCCTATGGCAGTAAAGGTGCTCCTCTAAATTCACCACCGTAGAGTGAAACCGGCTTCCGGAGATGGGCATACACTTGGTTCCTCAACACCATACAAGCTGATCGTCCGGAGGAAAAGAGCTGTGAAGCCATATACCGCAGAAGGCTGCAGCCCACTTTAGTCACTTCAGAAGCTGACTAATCTATGTATGGCAGAAGCTTAAGGGTTGGCCATCTGATGGCATAAATAAACTGTTCATGTTTCCTATTTCAGTTCTTACTGTCATTGGCGTCCCTTGTCCCTGATCTATTGCTGGGATCCTTGCCCTAATCTTTGCCAAAATAAATAATAAATAAATAGGCAGAGACTGCTTTAGTCAGCTAGAAAATGGCAGATGGCCTCGATTAGTGTTCTTTTTCCTCTTGTGGACAGGATAATTCATTGCTACTGGTTGCTACCCAGCTAGGCCTTATTTCCAGATAAGGCTTAAGCCCATCTCATGCAATCTGTACCATTCCGCATGACCAGGACATCATGAAAACCTTATTTTATCACACCCATTTAACTTGCCAAAAAGAGATCTTAGGGGCCTGTTGGTATAAAGTTCTTGTGGAATGTATACAATTTACCCTTGTTGGTTCAAATGCTGATTTCTGTACCCCACTATCTGGTTTCAATCCAGACATTGCATTGTGATGTTTATTCTAAGTATCACCTGTCTCAAGTTTGTGTGAACGTGCTACCATTTGTTCTCTATAATCAATAAAACAACCAGCCAATGCTGAGCAATGGAGAAAATAGGGTGGGACATCTTGGTCCGGAGGGGAGGAGAAGGAAGCAAGTGGGAGGAGTTGGAGAGGAGAGAGCGGCAAGAGAGGACTTTGAACCATGCGGAGAGATGAGCCAGACATAAGATATGACTAAAAGCAAATATAATGTGGGAAATCTGAATGGTAGGAAACTATGCGGGCTTGAAGGTTTAGGATGGAGTAACTATTGCCCAGCATTGTGCTCTAGGTTAATTAAATAAATCCCAGTCTCTGTGTGGTGATTTGGGTATATAGCTGGTTTAGGAATATCCACTGTTTAACTAAAAAATAAATCAGTAGTAAATATTAATATTCAACAACAGGGGCCTGAAGACATAGTAAGACTACCTATTCCATCTGCCAACTGGGAGATCGATATACCTGTTTCAACCCACAGATTCCCCCATTGAGAAATAGATAGAAGTCTGTAAACAGTCCAGCAGAACCACACTAATCAAATCCAAGTTACTGATCCCCAAACAGCCAGTATCCTTATGCTTTGACCTGTGTGATGCCATTCGTAATAACCTGGTCAATTTATAGTGAACCTTGAGTGCATCTATGTTGGGAGCAAGAGTGTTAGGATTAAATAAAATGATGATGTGCACAGCAGATTTTATATGAAAGATGTTTATTGGATGGAGATGAAGAGAGAGAGGAGAGAGCAAGACATGATAGAGGGGGAAAGAGGGAGGGCACCTCGACAGAGAAAGGGGAGAGGGTAAGAGGGCAAGAAAGAGGGGGAAAGAGAGAGCAAGAGGGCAAGACAGAGATGAAGTGGTGCATTGAACCTTTTAAGGAGCCAGGTGTGGCTACATGGCGGGTGACACATGATGACATCATAGGTTGCTAGGCAACCCAGAAGCAGGCTGCCTAAATACTAACATTCCTCCCTTTTTCTATAATTAAAAAATGAGGAGCTCAACTGCCGGCAGCAGACATTGTTTACCTAGCCAGGATTTTCATAGACATGCAAGAGGGGGAGGGAGAGAAACTGTGCCAGTACAGGGAAAGTCTTACCCAAGGGAGAAGACGGTCCTAGATAAAGGGTTTGGATGTAGGCTGGTGAGAGCGGTAGGAAATGTTTGTGTCAACCAGAGTGAAGACTCACCAAATGGCTGGTGTTGGGTGTACGAATGTAGGGCTGCTTCTCTTGTAAGACAAGTTAAAATATATAATTTTAGGTTCATTGGAAGCAGTTCTTGGTTGCCATGCAAGGGGGTGAGAGAGAGAGAGAGAGAGAGAGAGAGAGAGAGAGAAATAATAGCAACAAAATGTTCAGATTACATGGTCAGGAGGAGTAGGGGAAGCCCCTGCCCTGGAAAGTTCAGGGTAGGGGGTTGCCAGTAGATTGTTGCCAGCCAAGCAAAGCAGCAGGTAGGGACTGAGGAATGCTGGGAGAACCTGCAGCTACTTGTCCTGGGCCTGAAACACACCATTCAAGCCTTTTGTTAGTAATAAGTGAATAAGGGCATAGATTCTCTTCTGGCTACTTCCTGCTGACACTGGGGGCACCATAGGGAACTCAAAAGGCTGAAATGCTGGCCAAATCCAGGAAGAACAGGCTGTTTTGATGCAGTCCAGGGTCTATGAGAACATGCATCGCTGGGAGGGAAGTGCAGGTCCAGCTTGATGGAAGTCTGTGAGGTCAGACTGGGACACCTGTAGCAGCTGCTTTTGCGCTGTCGTGGATGTAGGAAACTTCTGTGTCTGGCAGGATACTGAAAAATATATATAGGCAGAAGACTAAGTAGGTTATAGAGAAAATTTCTTTAAGTGTACATTTAAAACTTTTGGGAGAGTGAACAGAGGTGGAAGGTTTGAATCAAAGAGACTTCAACATGGGAGCCTCCATTTACCTGAGAGAACCTCCATTTACCCAATCACTGGCAGTAATTAAAAACGCTTTGCTTTGGATCTGTCATCTAAGGAAATTGAGGCCAAGTTTGGTTACAGAAGTGTGTAAGTTTAGAGGCCCTTAAAGCGGGCACTAGGTGTAGAAATCTGAAATTCTCCAGAAGGCACCCCACAGGAGAATCTGGAGGAACGGATGAATGGACTATTCCCATTGGGCAAGTAGGAGTCAGTGACCCGTCAAGGCATCCATCCCAAGAGCAAGGTTTGACTCAGTATAGTAGTATGGTACAATCTGTTCCAACAGCTTGTCAGCTTTGACCAGAGACCAAGGGCACAATTGCCGGTAGCAGACACTGTTTACCTAGCCAGGATTTTCATAGACATGCAAGAGGGGGAGGGAGAGAAACCGTGCCAGTAGAGGGAAAGTCTTACCCAAGGGAGAAGACGGTCCTAGATGAAGGGTTTGGACGTAGGCTGGTGAGAGCGGTAGGAAGTGTTTGCGTCAACCAGAGTGAAGACTCACCAAATGGCTGGTGTTGGGTGTACGAATGTAGCAATCAGTAGCCAGGAATTGATACCAAACAGAAGGGAAGACTCACCAATCAGCTGGTGTTGGATGTAGGAATGCAGCAATCAAGTAGCCAGAGAAGGGAAATCCCAAAACCAGGGAAAGGGGAGGAATCCCACCCTCCGAGATAGGGAGTAAGTACAGTACTTATCTGGAGTCCAACTGACCTGAGAGCTGGATTCAGGTGGATTTCCTGCAGCTTACAAGAATTACTTTTAAGTTTTACAAAGGAGATAAAACTTTAAACATGTTAGCATCACAATTGTAATCTGCACTGAAATATACATTGTAGAAAAGGCAGTGGACATACACATTTGTGTTAAGAGTACAAGCCTTCTTTAAGGTGAGCTCTGAAAAGGCAGAAGCCTTTCGTGAAGTAGAAGGGACAAAAGTTCACTTGGTCTTAACCTTTAGTATAAGTATATATTATGGAGATTTAAAATCTTGAGCTTGGAACCATGGTAGTGTGTGGTATGGTGGAATGTTTTGTATTAGAGTTAATAAATCAGAGCTCTATTGATAAAGGTCAAAGCTCTGGACAGTCAATATAACAGTAGCATAGCAACAGGAGGAAATATTAAGCATTTTTACCTATTTAGGATACCTTAAATCACCTTAGACCTTGCAACCTTTATAACCTGCATTTACCAACCTTAAAACACTTTCTTAGACCCTCAAACAACATTTTTCTTAGGCCTTTGTATCTAGTTATTTACTAGACTGCTATGAACATTTATTGTCCTTCAGCTAAAAAGGTGATAAAAGGTTACATCCAGGCCTGTTTCTTGAGTCTGGCAATAAAGCATATTGTGTCTAGGCCTGACATAGCAACTCTAGAACTCATGCTTAAGGCCTGGTCTCCTGCATATGAAGAGAACTGAGAAGGCATGTGAAGTCTCCCAAGACAGAGGTTGGCAATATGTCCGTGGGACCCCATGTGCACCATGTGCTCGGTGCTCAGAGCCTCTGGCAGGGTGCCAATTCTAAGCCGCCTTGAACAGAGGGATAGGTGTGTGCGGTGAGGGCAGGGCAGTTGAGAGAAAGTAGGTTTTAAGGCATATATGGTATAGTGGTGAGCATATGGTGGTTAGGGATAGGTACAGCAAAAAAAAAAAAATCTGTTGAGGGCATTATGGTCCGATTAAAGGGGTTCTGCATGACTAGACCAGGTGCTACCAGGAGAGCCCTTCCTGGCCAATGCACCAATGTTAGAACCAAATAAAATGATACACATAAAAGATTTTATATGAAAGAGGTTTACTGGATGGAGATCGAGAGAGAGAGAGAGAGAGAGAGAGATGATAGGGGGAGGAGAGGGGGTGCTAGACAGAGAAGGGGAGAGGGCAAGAGGGAGAGAGGGCAAGAGAGGGCAAGAGAGAGCAAGAGGGCAAGACAGAGACAAAGTGGTGAGTTGAACCTTTAAAGAAACAAAGTAACCATACCTGGTTCTGCAGCTGTCTTTGAGTCATTTCTGCACCTGTAAGTAAGCCCTCACTTATACTCTCCTAAATAACGCCAATAAAACTTATTGATTCAACTTGGACTTTGGTAGTATCCACACTTTTTGGTCTGTTGTGGACTCCTTATCTGGGATAAGTACACGTGTGTATAACATCTCCCCAGCAAAAGTTTTGTCACACAATTCTACATACAGAAGATAAGAGATGGAAGAATGGCCATAAAATTGTTTTGTTTGTTTGTTTGTTTGTTTTAATCTGTGTAGAGTAAAAGATCTGAGCCCACTTTCAGGCTAGAGAACCTACCAAAACCCCACCAATCCCTCAGTCTGAAAACCTATCTGTCCCAGAGCACAAAATCCCACCAATCTTTGGGCTTGGCTTGAAGTTCACCAATCCCTACCCTGAAAAGCTCCACCCTGGAAAGCTCCTTCCCCGAAAAAATCTATGTGTAAGCCTGACTCCTGCTCAGTTCCCTGCCTCTTCTCAGGCGCATAGTCAGCCACTCTCTTGTTATCTCTCCAAGCAGGAACCCGAAAATGTGCAGTGCTATTTGTCACAACCCCTTAGCCTTAATGCTTGCTTCAGAATGGCATGTTTGTGGAAAGTTTAATACGGGCATCTGTTGCTTACAGATGAATAATGAGGGGTCACAGAAGAAATCAAAGATGGAATGAGAAAAATCAGTGTCTATCCTAGACCCGGAGAGGCTGGAACCCCGGGGAATTGCCTGGGGGTTGATTTTCAGCTTTAGGAGAATTCAAAACCATCCTAAGTTATACGTTTGACTTGGGGGGACTTTCCGCACTAATCTGTTAGGTCTCAGGCAGTGCGTTATGCCCAAAGTTGAGCACAACCTTGACTACAGAAGGATTTCTGGTGGTTAGAGAAGAGTCCCCTTCCTCCAAGAGGAGTCATTTCCCTTGCCGCTGGAAGAAACAGGATTCTCCATTGATGGTGCCTAATTAAAGTTACAGTGGAGTCCTGTCGGAAGCATGTAGCTAGGTGGAAAAAAAAAAATGTTCGGTCACTCTTAGCAAAACTGAGCCCAGATACCCTTTCTTGTTATTTCCATTTGATGTGAGACGAGGTTTCACAAGGGCCCTACACTGAAGGGCCAGGAGAGGAAAACCAACTTTCTGCAACCAGCGGAACTGTTTCCGTGGAGACAGGAGGGGGGCATCGGCCAGGTGAGATCTCGCGGTGCTTGGCCGGCGGAAGTGACGCAACCGCCCTAGGCTTAGGTGGGTCGCCGGGCCCCTCCTCCTAGAGCGGCAGCCTTTTCCCGCGCGAGCTACCTCTGTTGCTCGGGCCACCGGCGGGGAAACATGGCGTCTGCC